GACAGAGTGGGGAACAGAACAGGCAGACTGACGAAATACGCTGCTGAGGGGAGCAATGGGCATGACAGGAGAGGTCTGCCGCGCCATGTGGGACCCTTGCTGGCAGGCCAGGATCGAACCAGTGCTGCAGAGGCCGTGGACAGCTTCACAGTGTAGCGCTCAACTGCCTGTGCCAACAGGGGAGGCTCAGCTGTTGGGTATTAATGGAATTTTCTTTCATAGACATTTTGAAATCAGGTTGTAAATCTCCTTGAAAATTTAGGATTTATATCACATCTTCTTGATCCATACATGTGTTTTGGGACATTTCGGTTGTTTCCATATCTTAGCTACTGTAAATAGTGCCACAATAAACATGGGGTGCAGGTTTCCTTTGGAATTATGTTCTTTTAGTAGATTTTTATGTTCTTTGGGTAGATTCCTATGCGTGAAATTGCTGGATCATATGATATACATGATGGAATACTACTTAGCCCTCAAAAAAGATAAACTCATCTCATTTGTGGCCACATGGATGAAGATGGAACTGATTATGTTAAGTGAAATAAGTCAGAAGGAAAAAGATAAATATCAGTGGTTTTACTTATATTTAGAATATGGAGAAAATGAACAAAGGGTCAGGAAAAAGACAAAACTTGCAATGTGACCAAAGACCTGAGGCATACAGCACAGGAGGAGGAGGGGTCAAAACAAGGAAGGGAAGAGCACAAGGGACTGTGGTGGGAGAGGTATGGGGACAACACCTGAGGGGGGAAATCAAATATTGTACAAAATATGAATATTCATTGGAATTCATTCATTGGTATTGGGAAGGAAAATTAATATAGATAGTTTGGAAGTTTCTTATAACAACAACAAAGACTTAACATATGAATCAGTGACTACACTCCTTGAGGATAGGACCCTGCAGTCACATTAATTGAGTTGAAAACATATTCACACAGGAATCTGTATACAACTATTAATAATAGTTTTGTTCATAATAGCAAAAAATCTGAAAACAACGAATATGACCTTCAACAGATGAACAGATACATATGTCCTCACTACCTGCTTTTTTCCTCCCCTGTCCCAGCCACAGTAGCATCCACACTGCTCCTCGAAGCTACTATGCTCACTCGTACCTCTGGGAGTACCTGCTGTAACTTGTATCTGGAATATCCTTTCTTCACATCTCTGCTTAGTTTATTTCCTTAGTTCTTCTAATCTCTGCTCAAAAACATCCTCATAAGAGACAATTTCTCTGCCTTATATAAAATAAGATACTTCCTCCTCCCATCTCTACAAATCTCAATCATTCTGGCTCAGTTTTACTATCCTTAATATAATTTATCAATGTTTGACATACATATTTACTTGTTTATTTCAGCTCAGTCTCTTCCACTAGCTTATAAGCAGCATGTGGGGAAGAATTTGACAATTTTATTCACTGCTGTAAACAGAGAATTTAAGAGTATTTGGTCTTTGGTTGGCCTTTGATAAAGTGAATGAAAGAAAAATGCAACAGGTTAATGAACAATATAGAATCTCTAAATATATGTAAGCATATCTAATATATATGTAGAAAGACTACCTTATAGCAAAACTTTTAATATTAACTTTCTCCTTGCTTGTCCTTAATTTCTGTGAATTTTGCAGAGTTTGAGTCTGCATTTTGTATCTGCACAACACTTTATAATATTTCCATTATGACAGCTGCACTAGGCATAATGCTGTTTACAACACAGTGTGAATCACAATCTGGAATATATAATGTTTAAACCTCTGCCTGAACTAGAATATATAATTTAGCAATGTAGTAAAAAATGTGCATGAACTTGGCATTAAAATGACAATAAAATATTATTACTGAGCAGACTTTGGAATAGTTCTTGGGGATTTCTTGAGTGTGTACTAGAAAGAAAAAGTGTTACTAATACTCAGTTCATGAACTTTACTACAAAAAAAAAATAAAGAAAATTGGGTTACATAGTGGTGTCACAACTTGGATGTAATATCAAAAACCTGGAGGATGTGAGATATAAGAAATGAAATACTAAATATGCTTCCCACTGAGTATTCAAATCTGTTTTAAACACACGATGAATCCATAAAAGTCCATTTTAATTTTCTTCCAACTGTATAAACTGGAGAAATGCTGTGTTGTAGATTGAATATGCTGAAATTAGTCATGGCAGAAACTAAGATGTAAAACAAGTGATCTGGAAACACCCATTATTAAGATCTTCTATAAACAATGAAAAGTAAGATAAATACGATGTTTCAAATATTGTCACTAATATCAACTCCCTAGAGTTAAGATATGTTGGGCAGTTGGATAGACATTAATATATTTTTTCAAATACATCATAGCCAACTGATATTTCTAGACTCATGTGCTTGTCATTAATATTGTCTACTGTTCTAAGGATTCAGGTTTTAGGTTTTGGCTTGGAGCAATTGTAGGGGTTCTATCAATGGCAATAAAACAAAATTATCATAAGTAATTTCTTAAACCTTGAATTAGAAAGGTATAAATCAGTTACTGGATGAATATTAGTGTTATCCAAAAATTGTCGATGAAACATTGACCATATTTGTTTAAAAATGTGATTAGCCAAGAAAAATGCACTTAACTTCTATTCTATTTAATTAAATCTTACAGAACCAAAATTTGGAGTATTGTCTAGGGAAGATACATTTCATGAGTAAAAACTCTAATATAAATAAAGAGGAATATTTTGTGCTGTTATACCATCACTGTATATTTATAGTAGAGAAATAAGTGTGCTTCCACACAAAGATACTTTCTACAACGATTGCCAAACACAAACTTAGAGATGCCACAAAGAAGGAAGGGATTACATGTCTGTAAACTGGAGGAAACATCAGTAGAAACCTTTGTGGCTTGAGAAAGCTTAAGAAGCATCAAAGGAGTAAAAGGTTAAGGTGGATGAGAATAAAAATCAATGAGCATCTGAGTTATGTTCTGCTCTTTCTTTTATGATAACATTCTACAATAACATATCTTGATACCTAGCTTGTAAGATGATAAATTATTAGCATAGTTTAAAAAATACCCTCAATTAATTTGATGTGTCTAGCATTGAAAGGTAGAGTCTAATTCCCTTCATTTAATATGGTTAAGCTTAGTGACTGATTTCAGACAAACACAGTAATGTGGAAATGATAAAGTATAACTTCTGACACTAAGTCACAAAAAAGTAATGGGATACTTTGACCTGGGACTGCTCACTTTGGGAAGTTAGTTGCCATTACATAAGGAGAGTTAAGTACATTATGGTTATATTGGCTTGTGATGGAGACACCTGCTAATAGCCAACTTGGTGAGGAGCTGACACTTGCCCTAGTCATGAGGGCAAGTTATCTCATAGCAGACATTTCAGCCCTGACCCACATCCAGCAACTAAATGAAAGATCCTGCACTAGAATCACACTTCTAAGATGCTCCTAAATTTCTGAGACACAGAAATTCTAAAAACTAAATTTTTTAAAGCCACTACTTTTGGAGTAATTTGCTACACAATAGAAACCTATGTATCTTTTCCCTATTGAATGGGGAGTTCTCCATCAATGATACTCATATGGCCAACTCCTGTCTTCTGTGATGAACAGAGATTTTTCCAATTTTTTTTGTTCCTTTTCCTTTTATTAAAAGTATATACTATCCTATAAAAAACCTTAAAAGGTGAATATATTTAATATTTGTGTCTCTTCAGAGCTTCTTCATACTGTTTTGGATAAAATGGAACTGAATTCAATGAAACAACAAAAAGGAATAACAGAATGATGAAAGTCATTAGTTTAAGTTGCAATTTGGTATATTTTAATACAGAAATAGATTTTAAATGTTTACATTTTTATTGGACGTGGCTAAAGAGGGAAGGAAGGAACATCATTGAGAAGTTTCTCATAGCAATCAAAAAATAAAGTACATTGACATTGTTGGATATGGATGATATTTTTTCCTCTTTCCCCTCAAACATACTTAGTTCTCTGAAGTTGTAACCATAATGCTGAAGTATCTTGGCAAAATGCATAATTTAGACAGATAAACACAGAGAATTAGTTATGAGAGAATCAGTACATGAAGAAGGTATCTGGTCCAGATCATTTAGACTAAGAACCATTAGCATCTGATAATAGTCAAGAAATGTGGTGCTTGTGTAAGTCATATACCCAGTCACATTTCCCAAGTGATAACCCCCAAGATTTTCCATTACCAGTGAAAAGGATGATTAGAGTATGAATCTCTTTCAGAACTAGATTATCTCCAATAAACATTATGGCTAAAGAAAGTTTCATGTGCTTTTCCTTTTTGATACTTATGTCATTTTTATAAGGATGGAATAAAAATTCATTATGTATTCATTTCAAAATATTGTGAGTAGCATTATAATTTTTTTTTTTTTTTGCAAAACACAAATACCCTCTGTTTGTTACAGACAAATGTAATTTCCACTTTTCAAAAGAATAAAGGAAAACCTAGGCTTTTGTCTTCGAGGCATTGGCATTCCTAAGCTCATTTGCCTGCGCTCTTACACAGTTCAAAAACTCAGTTCAAGAATTCCCATCAGGGTAAAACACATACCTGCAGGCTTATTGCAATGGAACACTTCATTTCTCCAAAGTCAGGCATTTTTCTTTCCTTATTATAATTAATTTTCTTTGAGGCTTGAATAGGAGCAAAAAATATTTTTTTCTGCTCTTATGTACCAGCATATACAGACCCACTCTTTAAAGGTCATCTAAAAATCACTGGGTAAGTTATTTTGATCAAGCCAGAGTAGCATATTATTAAGGGCCAGACTGAACAAAACCTAAATGTTAGATGTTTGAACTTTGGAACTTGAGATTTTGGTGTGTGTTTGTTTGTTTTGACAAAGAGAGAATAATAAATTCTCCTTGGCATGAGTTTACTGATAGAGAAACTAAAGAAAAAGCAACTGGAGTTTAAGCTCCATTTCTAAGCTCAGAAGACTCACACTTGAGTTACATACCTTCTCCTCAGTCACTTTCTTTTTTTTCATGGTTGAGTGGCAGATAGTTGAGGATATGGGGGGCAATTGTTGCACAGGCACATCTGAGGACATAAGCAAACACACATAAGGTATGGGTAATGAAGTTAAGAAAATCTGTGGCCTTTCTCAGATCAAAAGTATCAGGTTAGCAAGAAGTTCTGAGCAGACATTAATAAGTGAAAGATGAAGTAGAAAATTAAGGAAAATACAAACATATTTTGTAAAAATAATCTTAATATTAATGACAAAGACAAAACAAAAATATCATATGCTATGCTTTTGATTCCACAAAGATTTAAGTAAGCAGAGTAGGGGAAAATAAATTGGGTAATTACATTTTTCCAACTCCCAAAAGTCATAAACAGACCTGAGATTAATACCAGATCATCATGATATCTGTTATATATTCTTTAAAAGGATATTTATAATTCTCAAAATTAAATTATCATCAAGTGGCACAAACACTGGGAAGCTCTTCAAGTCTGTAAAGCTTGGGTTTCTTATAAATAAGACAGGCTTCGTTTTGACCATGAATATATTCAATATAGTCATTACAATGATTTATTATATGTCCTGTCCTAGAATAGACTTTATGAATAAACTTGATAGTAGCTTAGAATAATGTAAAGTCATGAAAACTGAGTGATTGCCCACAGTCAATTGATGTAAATTGGGGGTTAGTTTCAAGATGATTTTTTGCTTGGTTCAAGAGCTTTTAGAAACTGAGCCCCAACACGGAGGTCCATGCTGATACCCAGAATATGCGGCACTGCCAAGGTCATAAAATGGGGAGATTCTGTGATTCTTATCCTAAGATTTCCATCACTATTCTTGGGGAATGTCTGTTGTATGAAGACAGCAGTCGAACAAGAAATTCTGCTTGACACCAGAGATGAATTATAAGATACTACATCTGTTTGTTCCTTTAGGAACTTCATATTAAAGATTCCAATTAAAAACTAAAAAGCACAACTAGAGAAAGAGGATTTGTAAAAACAAACTTTGATTTTGATGTTTGAAGTCAGCTTCTGAGCCACACCCTTCTCTGCTGTGTGCTCTTGTTTTTGACATTACTGGGCTATGTAAGCCATGAAATTTTCTGCTCATGAAAAGAACACAGTTCCAGCACCTAATCACGATAAAAATAAGCAAAGCACAAAAATAACCTCACCCAAATAGTCTCCATTCCCTGCCCTATCAAGATAACCATGGACCAGCTTGGGATACCAGTTATTTTAATAAGTAGATTAATGTATTTGCTCATATGCATGGGACACATTATTAATGTATGATATTCCCACTAGAAAGTCTTACTACTTAAATAATAGACTTTTCATGACATCTTGGTATTGTTTATATTCAGTTTCAATATGTGAACCAAATTTTTGGTAGTGATCCACCTTGTCCCTGTGAGAAAGTCACAGCAACAATGTTAGTAATAAGGTTTTAATCAAATATATACATTTTTAAATCTAAACAGAAGATTGAAAAAGTCTCCAAAAAAAAGTGTTCAGACTTTCTAAGGGCATTTGGGAAGTAGCTGAAAACAAGTCAGAGTTGAGATCTACTGTGAAACTTGGCTCAAAACTAAAATCAGGAAGATGTTAAGTTTAAGTTTCTGAATGAATTTCTCTACCTTGTTTCCCTGGAAAATCCCAGGTTGTTGTCTGCCCTTGCTCTCAAATATCACCAGAAAAATCTGTTGATCAAAAAAGGAAAAGACAATTTTAGTATTCATATTACAATAATAATGGAGAACACCATCTTGATATCTATGTATATTCGACTGAGCTGTACAAAGCAATTAAATATATAACTATATATAAAGTTGTATAGATAGAAAGAGAGATGAGACAGGGATAGAGATAAATATGTATAGAGATGCCTAAAGTTACATGTTGGAAAAATCATTACTAAAAATATTTATATCCTTTATTTTTATTCTGATAATACGATCTTGTATGTTCTCTAATGTCTTGCTTATAATTTAATATTTCCTGCAAACTACTTTTCCTTTTCTGCTTTTACATTTTTTTCTGTACCTCAATTAGCAAGAGTGTAGTTAGCCATTCTGCTCATTTCAAGCAGAATTTTGGTATAAGAATACCTTATATAATGATTAACACAATCAAGTTAATTAACAAATTTTTTATTACTGGTATCTAAAAAGTTCTCTCTTGGTGTACTTGAACGAATTCTATATCCACATAGCTAGTAGTATTTACTGCCATTCAGCATTTGATTTTCACCAGCCTAACGAGGGCAAGATATTTCAGTACTGATTTCATTTCCATTATTTCCCTGATTTACTGATGATTTTGAATATTTTATCATTTTGTGGCTAGTGTTTTGAATTTCTTCTCTAAGTCATTTAATTAGCTTTCTTATATTCAAATTTTGGTAGTGGACATAAAATTATTAAGCCATCATAAAACAATTGAATAACTGCTATGTCTTAAAGAAAGGGTGCTATTATTTAATAATATTCTCACATATTTTGGAAAGTTAGAGAATGTCCTATAAGATGGAAATAATTTCCTGTTTTCCTTTTAAATCCATTTAAAGGATTCTAACCTTTAAATGGCAAAGTTTCAGCTGTCAAAATATATGCCGAGATGCTGGTGCCCTATTAACCTAGACTGAAAATAATTGCCATTGGCTCAAGAGCAATGGCAGGAAGTGTGGGTCACCCTCTTAGAACCTTTGACTTCCTACAGGAAAGTAAGAGGCAACAGAATACATGGACCTTAAATGTGAAAATGACTGTTACTGATGTTTCACTTTTTTAAAGGAACAATAAAGAATTTTAAAAGTATATTTGAAAAGCAAGTTTTAATTTTTTTTTTACTATTTATTTTTTATTTTATTTTATTTTTTTAAGATTTATTTATTTATTTATACAAGCACTGGGTGCAGTCAGAAGCACAGAAGGGTGAGAGAATTCATCAGAGCCAGAGCGGGGAACAGAACAGGCAGACTGATGAAGAAATACACTGCTGAGGGGAGCAGTGGGCGCTGCAGGAGAGGTCTGCGCGCCATGTGGGACCCTCTCCTGGGGCCGGGGATCGAACCGGCACTGCAGAGTGCTGCAGGCAGCTTCGCAGCCCAGGGCTCAACCACTGCGCCACCGGGGATGCCCTTAAAAACTTTTAAGCAATGTGTCCTTTTCACAATTTTATCTCATAGTAACAACATATTTGGTTTCTCATGACCAATTTGTTTAAAATAATAGATTCATGGTAATACATAAATTCATAAAATGCATATATATATATTTTATTAACATAACTGATTAATTGATTAGCATGCTATTTTTTGTATTTTCTGTGACTTTATTATCAAATAATACATGAATAAAAAGCTACAAATACTTTTAATAATTCTTACCCTATCAACTCGATGTTAAATCAGTGAGTTAAAAGACTTGGTTATGTGTAATAAACTGAGTCCATAGTTATAAAAGAGTGGAGTGGAAATAGTAACTCATTTTTATCTGCCATAAATAATTTTCTTACCAGTGTATGGCACAGACATTGGAAGATTGAGAATTAGTAGTTTTCTTTGCAAGCCTTCTTATAAACTTCAAGTTAAACTTGACTTACTATATAAGTTGAATTTTTTAAAAATTTAATTTTAGTAATTTTTGTTAAAATTCATTAATTTGGTGAACACAAATGCACAAAAGTCTGGTGCATATATAGAGAAAGAGAGCGAGAATGCATGAGTGAGAGATTGCCTCCATTTAAACACAAATTCATTTTCACAAATCTATGAATATCAAAGGTAGACACATGATTTTATATTCCGGCAACTGACAGATAGGCCAACATGTAGAATAGTGAATGTTCAATAACTAGTTGCTGCTTTAAGGAAAAACAGTAAAGACACATGAAAAAAAAGTTTACCTTCATCTATATAGTATTAAATGAAAAAATCAGATCTTTCACCTATCAATTTCCCATATAGGTGAAAATGACACAGAAGTAAGAATTGCATTATGAACATATAATTCCAGGAATTGCAGTTAAAGTTATTGGTGGGGAATATTCACAAAAGAGCGCCAGAAGACAAGCAGCATGTGACAGAGATGCAGTAAAACTCTGGCTCAGAATTGGTCGGGCTAAAATTTAGGGTAGGAAGAAAGATGATGCAGTGTGGAAAATAACTGAGGAGTTAATTTCCTTCCCATCTATTCACATTTAAGACTGTGGTATTAAACATGGCAGTACATGACTTTGGAAAGTCCAGCAAGCAAAATACATCCAGGAATGTAATTTTCAAGAAAAAATAGCAGAAGAAAATAGTCAGATTTCTTGAATGCTTGTTTCTCCTTTGTTTTAATCAAGAAAAGCTCACCAATGAGCACTTGTAGATAATTTTAGAATGTTTAGATAAATACTTATAAAAGACTATATACCATATAAATTCTTTTATGACCCTTTTAAGATTGCTACTCCCTAAAATCTTTGATTGGCAAAAATAAAGAAATGTGGCCTGATATATCAACATGAAAATTTGTATTTTGATTGGAAAGAAAATACTATACTAGATTTTGTGACCCTGGATTTACTATTGAGTTAGAATTGCATGGTGTCCACTCAGGCAGTGTTGAAGATAGGCATCATATCGCTTAACATGAAATTACTAAAAGAATGGAACAATGTAAACCCATGATTCTAGGCTAAGGAAGGGAGTCAGGGACCAAGAAGAATAAGAAGATTGCACAGAGTAAATAGTTGTTACAAAAGATGTATTCTAACACTGATACACAGAAGAATCCTTATGCATGCAAGAACAATGTTTGGATGTGAAAGAATACCAAAATTTGGGATACTCTAGTTTGCATTTGGTGCTGAAGACAGGGATTATTTTCCCCTCAAATAATGATAGCAATCTGTACAAAAAATGTGATTATGCGATATTACTGGAATAGTCTAGACTTTTGAAGGTAACTTCCAACATTGAAGACCTGAGTTATGATGGGTAAGTCAGAGATAGAATGTAGAGACTTTAGCATTCTTTTGTTTGCAAAAGCCAAACATAATTTT